CCAATTAGCCCCTGTATAGGGGCTTCAGCAGGGTCAAAGGGAAAGATGATGATGTGAATACAGCACTCTGCCCTTCTGCTCCCTTGAAGCCAGGATCTGCTATATCCTCTGCTTGTGGAAGCATGGGGTTCATTCTAGCCTGTAATCCTGCATTTCTGACATCAGTATGTTTACACAAGATGTCACAAATGCAGCTCAATGACTCCACTGCCAGTAAGTGAAGAACAAGACACACTGTCAAGAAGGAAAAAAAATTCTGAAGAAAAGGACATGAAAAGTTAAATAGGTTTATGTTAGTCTGACGCATTTGAAAGTTTTCTCCTCTTTAATGTTTGCAGAGGAGCTCTTCCAATCTGTTGAATACATAGTGTGCTGTTTATTTTTAAATGATGTAAATACATATTTAGACGATAGGCTGTAGACGCTCTGAATGAAGTGGTAGCCTGTTGAATAAAGAATACACTTTAAAAAAGTCTAAATATGAATTTACAAGATAAAGTGTAACGGCTTCAAAGGAGCCATTGATCTATGGAGTACATAATATGCACGTTAGAAGTCATTGAAATACTTATTTACATGACATGCTGCTCACAAGGAGCCATTATGGCCTTTAAGTAAATGGTATGCAGTGTAAAAATTGTCTAAGCAAATCATTTATTTTATCAGACACTAGTGTATCATGTCAGCTGATAAACACATTCTTTTTTGAAAAAAACAAACCCGAGGCTAAAAGGAGGTGAAATCAGAAAAACATGTCAAAGGGTGTTTCCAGCCCTTTGAAGGAAGGAAAATTAGGGTATGTCTACAGTGCAGTTAGGCACCCGTGGCTTACCTGTGGCAGCTGACTCCAGCTCTTGTGGCTCGGCCTAAGAGGCTGTTTAACTGTGGTGTAGACATTCAGGCTTGGGCTGGAACCTGGGCTGTTGGACCCTGCGAGGTGGGAGGGTCCCAGAGCTCAGGCTGCAGCCCAAGCCTGAATATCTACACTGCAATTAAGCAGCCCTGTGAGCACAAGTCAGCTGGCACCGGCCAGCCACGGGTTTTTAATTGCAGTATAGACATAGCCACAAAGGCAAGAGTCTAGGCTCTGCTCCTGGCCTACACTAGTTGTTAGGACTGGTGCTAGACCACTAGTGAAGAATTGCTAGTATTTCTCAGTGTACACAAGCCCTATGGGCCATATTTCCCCATCGAGCCAAAAGTGCAAATGGGAACACCCTAAAACCAGCTACCCCCCGACTTCGTAAAAAGTTACTGTACAGTTGTTTTTCCTCCCACTGATGTGTTTATCCTCTCTCTGTGTATGTTATGAGCGGACAGTAGAGCTACAAAAACCACTGAGGGTTAAGGATCCATGCAACAATACCCTAACTCTGCCAATCATGGCCAGCTGTAAAGCGGGGGCCCACTCTGGGTGCCATCTTCCACATTGACCCCTAGCCATAGCAACACAGCTGGCATACTAACTTTGACACCTCTGATGGGGAAAGTATTAACTTGCAACACATGGGACCCTATCCAAAGCCCATTAAGATAAATAGGACTCCTAGCATTGACTTCAATACGCCTTGAATCAGGCCCATAATATTTGTGTATAGGAGCATACCACTTGAGTTCATTCTCAGGACAATGCCCCTTTCTGTGTGTTCTGTTCACTGCATGACTCTGTTGTGGAAGGGATTTAGCTAGTTATACAGGGGAGTGGGGGACAGCATCCTACAACGCAGCCTTTTCCCCGAAACTGCCTTTTCTTTGGTTTTGCTCTACTCTGCACTACAGATTGGGTGAGTGATGTTGGTTGGAGCGTAGGGGCTTTTGTCCTTAAATCACCCTCTTGTGCCTAGGAACTACAGGGTCTAAGAACAATACCATGGATTATAAACTGTATGTAACTCCTATTTGTGTTGTTGGAAGAACAGACTTCTGTATGTACTGCACGACAGAAGGGCAACAGTAAAAGTTAAGGATGCAGTGTTTACCACAAGTGACAGTCTTAACTCTTCTTGCCTTTTGTGCATTTAGGAGAGATCTATAACATTAATATGTCTTGTGGTTTTATTACAATGTGGATCTGCTCAGTGTAAGATGAAAGAATAAATTAAGAAGGCATTTTATATAGACAAACACATTTGTGAATCTTTTTCAATTAAATGGACCAAACAGTGTTGGTTCACTGGTGTAAATCTAGAGTAGCTCTATTAATTTATATGTATATGCATCAGGCATAAATTTAGCTCAGTGTGTGTTTGAACAATACTATATACAGTAACAGGATATTTAATATTGCTTTGGGATTAATGTAGGTAACGGTGTCTGCATTCCTACAGAACAAACCATGAGATGGTATTGCAACTAAAATCACTGTTTTTATACCACTATTTCTCTTTTGATACCATAAAGATTTAGGTAAAATTTAAACACACACAGCTATTCATTCATTCAGAAAGAAATAGTAAACTAATACCTTATGTTTACATACATAATGCTTTTCATTCTATGATCTCAAAGTACTCTTCAAATGTTTAATTAATCTAGCATTAGAACATACCTGTAAGGTAGCTATGGAATATATTACAAGCACTTAGCCTATGACTGAAATGCCGCAACTGTTTAACAGCAACACTACACGACAATTTAGAAATTGAAAACAAATGCCATAGCCATCTGAAATGGCAGAGAATAATTAATAAACAGAATGAATTTGACTAGAACACTGCAGTAAATACCTTCATGCTTATGAAATTGGAAAGGGATCTTTAATGACTACAAGTGATCAGAACTTTAATATTGCACCTAATCTAAAACACACACAGTGTGACATACCTAATAATCATTGACATTCAATGGATATTATACAAGTTAAGGATAGAAAAGACCTATTCAGTCACCTCACCTTCCAATGCATTTTCCAGCCCCTTTTCTAATGTAGTTTTAAATGATCTCAAGCAACGGAGAAGCAATGTCTCGTGACTTCCCCTAAGAATCCATTCTGGAATCAATTAACTGATCCTGATAATCAGCCTAAATTTTCCTACAGTTAATTTCTTCCCATATCTGAAACTTTTGTCTCACAGCAAGATGAATTAAATAATATCTAAGAGTTTGTCCATTCATCCCAATGTACTTTACAAAGATAAGGACACATCATTAAAGACATAAGTGGAAAACTGAAACACAGAGGAGAAGTTAAACAGCAACTTGCTCCAGAGCAGGGAATAGAACACAGTTCTCCTAATTCCTAATCTGACAGCCACTCCACTGGTCAACCATAACTTTTGTCAATGAAATGGCTCCCTTTAAAGAATGATTTTGATACTGTCTAACAATAAATCAAAGACATTTTGGGAAAGTTTTTTTTTAATTCTATGCATATTCATTGTGGTGTGGAGCAAGTGAAACTATGTATAGGGTTAAATAAAAGTTATTTTGTAAGAAGCTAAAAATGGTGACAAACTTTATAAGTAAAAAAATCCAGGAGTTAGGCATGTACTGATGTTAATAATCCATAAACAAGCTGTTAAGTTTTCCTTGTTTACAGTTTCACACATTGCATAAGAAATAAACCAAGAACAGCATCTTTTATGTGTGGAATATTTTTCCTTTTTAATGTTGCATTGAAGTCTTTAAATCTGGAATGTCAAGGATATTTGTATAACAACACAAGATTTCTCATGGGATTTAAAAAAATTAAATTTTCTAAATGATCTAAATTGTTGCATAGTAACATTTTTTAAACAAGCTACGGCCAAAGCCTTGCTCCATTGAAATCCATGGGAATTTGCCTTAACGTGGCACCAGAATTTGATCTCTAGAATGCATTTTAGATTGTTAAATTGATGCAGGGGTACAGATTCCAGCAGAAGCTCTCCCAATAAATTCTTTATTTGTGCAAACATTACAAAGTGGTTTCATATTTTTAAGGCAGCTCATTTTGCTTTTTCCTTCCTACTACCCCGACATAGCAGAATAGTGTTTAACTGGCAACAGCAGGTATAAACAAAAAATATTACTGAAAATTAAGTCTTGTTGACTCCGGGGGGAGGGGAGGAATCATGCATAGTATGTATGTACAGCTATGTAAGATAAAATAGGTGGGCACTACAAATGCCAAATTTTAACAACAAACAACAAAAAATCCAACAAAACAAAACAACCCTGCCCCCCAAGATGAATAGTTCAAACAACTCCATGGGGAAGGTAAAGGTTTTTTTGAATTTTCCTTTTTCTGTAACACGAGAAAAACAGACTTCAGTACAGAATTCTAGTATTAGTGTTTTTATTACTTACTCTCATTGAATTATTTGAAGAAAACAGCATCAAATGTTTTTACTTCAGAGAAGCATTACTTGACGTTACAAGAACTTATATTTAGTTTATTAAACTAACATTATTACAACCTCAAAGGTGGGACTATAGGAAGTTTCAGAACCTGTTTCTTGTCTCTTAAAACAGTTTTACACATATGAAACTCCAGTGATTTTAATGGATTTGCAGTGGCATGTTTGCAGATAAGTGTTTGCTGTTTTTTTGGCTTGTTTGATCTTAATGCAATTATTTTAAGAAAATATTCGTCTTGTTAACATATTACCACTTTAGTTGTTAGCTAACCACCACAACAGTTCATTTCCTCATAAATATTTAACATAATAAAAAAAGTCCCTTGGGCCCTAACACTTTTGACACTTGTATAATCTAAAACAAATTCTCCCACTTTTTAAATCAAACAGACCATGTTACACACACAGTTGGCTAACTATTTACAAAGCACCCAATTAAATTCTGCTTAATTCTCCCACTGTCTGAAAATCCCACCTCACTGGTGCGTGGACTACTGATCACACAAAATGCATGACTTTCCCATAGCTTGGACATTACTTTACAGACTGTAAAACTTTATTGTACATAAGACTGCTATAAAATGAACTCATCCATTAAGCAACACATATAAGAAAGTGAAGCAATTGTATAAATTTAGAGGATTGAAGAAATAAGCAGAAGAATCACAGTACAAAGACACGTAAATCTAGTTTAATGTTCACATGTAGAATTTACACATCACAGAGATTAAACAGGATTTTAACTTAACATAGCTGCAATGAAATGAAAGTCATTTTGTATTAGAAAAATAATCTTGATGCAGTTATCCGATTTTTGGTCTACTTAAAGTTCATTTTAAGATGGATTTACATCACTGATCGTAATGACTTTGCTTGTGTGCTTTTCCACAATCCCATATCAATATTCTTTGGACGAAACAGTAACTGTTCATTTGTTAATGGTTTGCCCTTTGGTTGCAAGCAGAGAACTGTTTTCACTTTTTAACTGTAATATGCTATAAGAATGAAAGTTTGTGACAATAAACCTTTTATTGTTAAATGAAGTTCCACAGTAAGTTTCTTGATTTTGATGCAACAGCAGATTTTATAAAAGCTGATTAAAGACCTAAAGCATTGCCTTCGATATGAAAAAAGTATAGAATTTGTTTTTCTAATCTCAGTAAAAAAACACTGTCTTAACACTACTTGTATATAATGCACTAAAAACCCTTGTGCCTAATTGACAAAAGTGTAGTTTCAAAATGTATAATACAATTACCAACATTTTAATCTAAATTGAAGAAAACACGTTTGTATGGACTCAACACGAGTTTATTTGCAATTAGACATCTCATGCAATCATGCAGGACCACTAACTATAGCTGTAACTTCCGAGTCTAAAAAGACACTGGGCAAAAACCTTAACTGTCAAGATATTTTCATATTATCAGCTCTGTATCTGAGCTGTAAATAATGTTCTAAAGAAATATTCCCACACATTAAAAAAAACATACACACCTTTATAATATTTACAAAAAATATTTAATTAAAAATATTTTATAATTACAGTAGTCTATTAAAGCATATACTTTTCTCACTTACACTTATAGAACATCTCTATATATACACAGTATGAAATGTCACTCATATATCTATACAATATGTAACATTCCTGCAGGGAGAAGAAAGTTCCCTGGGCCCCAATAAAATCATCTATTTTAAACAATAGATGTCAAATATATCTACAATGCTCTGGTAGATTAGTAAAGCTTCAAAATTCAGCTGCTCGGTCCCTTACAGTTATACTTCTAAAGTTTGATTTACTCTCGATCTTCTATCCAACAGAAGAGTCACACTTTTCTGCTTAAGTTTTAAGTCTCCTCCCACCAAAATAAACAAACAATTCACATCTGATATAAAATGCACAGAAAAAAAAGACATGTTTAAAATGCTATGAACGTGCAAAACGGTGAAAGGTTCTCTCTCAGAAGGAAACATGGAAACGATTCTGGGGTTGAATTATTTTTTCCTCTCATCTGATGGCTGATATTTCTTTTTCCCCCTCCCTCTCTAATGTGTTTTTCTCTGCTCCTCTGGCTCTGGATCTGCTTGCTGCACACCTGTGGAAGAGGAATGAATAGAGGGGGGTGTGTGAACCGTTTTTGCTCCAGACTGAGTGGCGCCACCAACAAAACACAAGACATGCTTGATCAACAACCCAAAACAAACCAGGTCAAACAACAACCTCAGCTCCCATGCTAGGCCAAAACAGAGGAATACACAGCTGCAAGCCCCAAGTGATAAGCGCTTGACACAGGGGGTTTAAATAATAATAATAAAACAGGCTCCCTGCAAACCTTGTTTGCTCAATCCAGACCCCATTTCTGCACTCCAGATGAGACAGAAAGGAAAGACAGTCTCAATGCTAGGAAAAGAGACTTCCTTTAGAAAAGAATGTAGGTGCACTCAGGTCAGAGAGGCACTAGTGCTTCTAGAATAATACATTATTCATGCATTTAATGGAGAAAAAATTAACTCCTAAGGAATGTGCAAGACTCAAACCCGTTTTAAAAAAAGAGCTAGCTGAAACATGTACAGTGCAAAGGGCACTGGTGTTACAATACTACAGATGGCAGAGATGCAGCCTTTTCTCTAGATGCCCAATAATGAATTGAGACTCACCTTGAGAGTGCAGTTCAGCGGCACAGAATACTGTCCCCCTGCTTGTTAACAGCGCCAGCCTGCACAACAAAACACCAGTAAGAAAAATGAGTGCAAATAATTAGCTCTGCCATGATAACTGTACGTGTGTCTGGATCACACACACGGGCAGAGACCAGCCTAGAGAGGTGACAAGCTCCACAATGGAGAGCGGAAGCCACAAGGACTGCCAGCCTGGGCCAGCCAAGTCCTACCGCACACAGATCAGTGCACCCGACAGCAGGTTGCTAGATTCTCAGTGTGACACCTCCTGGCTCCGACACAGGGGATGCTGAGTGTCACATTCCGAGCACACAGCCGGACCCGTCGCCCAGGCACCGCCGGCTGGAGAGTCACAGGTTTCCTTCTGTCCCTCAGAAGCAAACGCCTTCTGCTGCTAAGGGTGGATCCCGCAGAAGAAAGATCCTTCCCGCTCCCACGCACAGACATTTATTTTTTATATACATAAGGGTTCATATATATATATATATACGGGTTTCAGGGTGTGTGTGTTTATATATATATACACAGTTAAATGTGCACATTCCCCTTAAGCGTTTATATCAGCTATAGTCCCCTTAAGTGTGTACAGAATCATTGTACGGATTCCTGTGTGTACACACACACGTTAGCTATACTTCCCTGAGTGGCTATAACTATACAGCAAGTACAGTGAGGGTATATGTGTGTGCGTATGTCTATACACACACAAGCGTCTAGCTCATCATTGTATGCCCCGGTATAAAGTGTGTGCATCTACAGACGGGTCTGTGTGAGATGCACACACAGAATGGATCACACAACGGAAGTATGCTGTACAGTGGCTATAGGTGCATACTTGCGGACAGATCCTGCTCGCATTAAAGTCAGTGGCACGACTCCCACTGACTCCGCTGGAGCAGATCGGGTCTCAGGGCGCCCGTAGAACACACACACGGATACCGTGTAGCACTCACACGCCTAAAGTGAATCTCTGTCGACGCCGGTCGTTGCAGAGACACAGGGGGTCTGGGGTACCCTGGCCACACACCCTTCAGGGAGTGCACAGTACGAGCCCTGCATTCCCTAGCTGGCTGGCCAATGCTACACGTACACATTCCTGCCCAGCGTGGGCTAGCACGGCCAGGGCAGCGCCTCGCGTTTCCCCTGCCACGGCGCTTACCGGGTCGGTGTTGAGGGCTGTAAGCGGGGTCCGGGGGGTGGCTGCGGGACAGCTCCCTGGGTGCAGCGGAGGTGGCTGCTGTTGCTGCTGCCTAAGTAGAGCCGGGTGCGTCTCCAGAGCCAGCTGCAGGTCGAGGATGTAGTCGATGACATGCTGCAGGATCTCCACTTTGCTGACCCGCTTATTGGGCGGGATGGTGGGCACTAGCTTCCGCAGCCGGCTGTAACAGTCATTCATATCGCACTGCAGGCACAGCGACGCCGGCTCCTCGCCCGACGGGGCCCCCTTGCAGCCGTGTTCGGCCAGGCAGCGCAGAGCCAACTGCCCGCCTCCGCCACCTCCTCCTCCTCCGCCGCCTCCTCCAGCGCCCCCGCAGCAGCCCGCCTGTGCCTTCCTGCTGGGGTGGCGGACGGGACTGACCGCTTTCATGGTGCACAGGGAGAGATCCCCTCGGGCACCGATGCACACCGCGTACCGCCCGCAATGCAACAGGAGCAAGAGGCAGTGCTCAGCCAACGCAGCGATCCCTTCCTAAAGCAACCAAGGAGGGGCAGCCCGTCTCTGGATACAATCTCCGGGCTCTGCCAGAGCGAATGCCAGACCGCGCAAAGAAAATCCCACCACCCAGGCTAGTCATTCACTACCCTTCCCCTTCGCTCCCACTAGAGCCCAGCCGCCTCTGCTCAGCCCGGCTTGCAGCGCCGCCCTATATATATATAGCACGGGGTACAAACAGGCGGGGCTCGCGCTGCCGGGGCCCGGGGAGAGGAGGAGGCCAGAGGCGCGCGGGGGAGGGGAAATGTGTGCAAAGGAGAGGGGAGGAGGGGGTGCGGAGCGCCGCGCTTTGGCCAATCACCGCCGCCTCCTCCCTCAATGGAACGCCGCTCTGGCCAATGGCGAGGACGCTCCATTCCGTCAATGCTGTGGGGTCTAGGGCTGGGGAGACTGCTGAACCCAAGGGAGCGGAGGGAGGAGGAGAGAGAGAAGTTCCTAGCAAGGAAGAACTGCGGGAATGCGATTGGAATTCACTCTCCTACTGAATGAGGCTGCTGAATCCTGCCATTCCCATCGGCACCCGGAGCACTCACAACTGGCTATGCCAGCAGTAGGCATCCCCTCCTCTGATCTATCCTTGAAGCCTGCAAGGAGCAATTGGAGATTGTTAATGTCATTTTACCGTACACACTTCTATTTATTCTTCCGACTGCTTAATCATCACCAGCAAATATTTCTACCACTGGCAGAGGGGGGGATGCTGTTTGCAATGTCTAGCCTCATTCAATGTATTTTTTTAACCTTTCACTGCTTTCCTGCCCCTACCCGTAGACACACAGAGTCTTTTGAGGGACGTTGATTTAAAGAAAAAAATAATCCAAATTTGAGTGCGGGCGGGGGAGGGGGGGGACAGGAGATCAAGAAAAGCAATTGCTATGGAACATTAAATTAGAGCACATAACTATTAAAAATTCATGGAGATGGAGTATTTAAAATTCCTCTATAACATATAATATTAATCCATTTTATGCAAAATTCATACCTGTAACTTAATTTTGTCCATTAATGCATCAGATCACGTATTAGTAAATGTATCATGTTTTAAATATGATGCTAGAAATGTCCAGAGTTCTGTACTTTGAGACAGCACATTAAAATTAACAGGCACATACTCCAGAGTCTTGCTTAGGTCGTTGTGTGGTGGATTGCAGCCTTTTAATTTAATAATGCCTTGCTTAAACTTTCTATTAACTCCTCATGAGGATTCAGAACAGATGCAGGTGAACTGAACATTAGAGTAAGAAATAAAAGGCACAATCCTGCAACTCATACAAACAGACCTTACTCCTTACCCATGTAAACTGTCTCAGTGATTTCAATAGAACTATTTACTTGAGTACAGTGCTGCTTGAATGAGCAAGGGCTGCAAGACTGGTGAGTAAAATCTAATAGAAGGAAAGAAATTCATAGTTAACAGTGATTGATGATTGCATGCCCCCACCACACCTAGTCACAGAGTGATGTACAAAGGATACAGAGGGAAACAGTTAAGCCTAGAACCTTGAATGGGAGCGGGTTGGATCATCTTTTCATCACAGTATAAAGAGTGCATATTTAGGTCTTTCCCACCTCCTAAAAGGTACAATATAAGTCCCGAATCCTGCAAAGCTTAAGCATATTCTTAACTTTACACACTATGAGTAGTGTGTACAATGGGGCTACTTACAGGGCATAACATTAAGCACCTGTGTAAATCTTTGTAGGACTGGGGGTCTAAATTAGCAAGCTAAACAGTGACCATGTCATGACAGACATATTGTCATCAACTATATACTCTAAGAGCCTGTTCTGCTATACCTTACACTGGTTTTACACTGTGAAACTCTATGAATTTTAGTGAAGTTAGTCCTGATTTTCATCAGTGTGATACATCAGGCCCTAAGTTATAGTTATGCCTGGTCTATTCCCCAGACTCTTGATGAGATGGACAGACTTCCGTTTTTTTTTCATTTTCAAAAAACTAATCTGTAGACAGTATTAAGTATGTGGACTAAAATCTTGCTGATCTGATCTTAATTAAAATCTCTGTGAAACTAGGTACACTATAGAATTCAATTGGTCTATTTGTATAGAATCAGAGCTGATCTTATTTCACTGAAAATTTGTGGAAAATCCTAGTATGTAACCATTTCTCCTGGAGCCAATCTGATGTAAACAGATGTATATATATTAAACCCCATTGGCATCATGGAAATTCTATTGAGGCTGATTTGGGTCCTAAAGATTAGTCTGAATCTGTAAAAAGCAACAGAGGGTCCTGTGGCACCTTTAAGACTAACAGAAGTATTGGGAGCATAAGCTTTCGTGGGTAAGAACCTCACTTCTTCAGATGCAAGACTTGCATCTGAA